TGATCGATACTGGTTAGTGGAACATTAGTGACATGAATGAATTGGCACTTATTTATATTTCGACAATATTCCAGGTAGTTCGAATACGTGGATTGGTGCAAACTTGCCATACAAACCCACAAGCACTAGTCACAACACTGGAAACACTATAGTGAGCTAGCTGCTTCTAGTGTTATGATGCTGTTAACAGACTGGTCTGTAACGTAGAATGTCAGCTATGGTTCGGGAACTATGTCCGGAAAGGAATGTAAGGACTGCTTCTTTCGGCTACAATCGCACCAACTAAATGTGGATCAGACACCGACACCGTGACCTTAGGGCCAGACTTGGTTATCCAGAACCAAGGCATCGGCGTGGCTTCATCCGCGCAAGGGTTCGAGGGCGTCGATGGTATATTGGGGTAACATTTGGTCTGAAAAGCAGTGTTTCGTAGCGCTGATATCTTTGCAGTGTCGGTCCCGCAGACCTTACACAGGGAACCGTGTCTAACACGACGGATGTGCCTACTGTTACCGACAACTTATACGCTCAGGGAACAATCTCTTCCAATTCACTCGGCATCTCCTACGAGCCGTCTTCCACGGCTAACGTATCCAATGGAGAGCTCACATTCGGAGGGACTGATAGCACCAAGTTGGTGGTACATCTTTCTTTTCTGACTTTGTCTAACATCATATGTCAGGTACACTGGTACACTCAATACTGTTCCGCTTACCACCACCTCCCCAGCCTCAGCGGTAAATCACAGCCTGACTGAAAATGTACTGCTTACTCATCTTGACGATCATCCATCATAGTATTGGGGTATCGATCAGTCGGTATCGTACGGTACTGGTCAAACAATCTTGAACACGACTGCCGGCATTGTGGACACTGGCACTACCCTTCTTCTCCTTGCCACTGGTATGCATATATCCCACTGTGATATCTGTTACTCACCGAATGTGCAGAGGCTTTCCAGGCCTATCAGAAGGCAACTGGTGCCGTCGAAGACTCGTGAGTTGAGCTCAATGAGCCTAGGATGTTCTGTTATCTTATTTGGATCAGAACGACAGGTCTCCTAACCATCACGTCGGAACAATATGCTAAACTTCAAAGCTTGTACTTCAATATCGGTGGTGTAAGTTTCTCTCTCGTATGATGAACCTCTGATTAATTATTGGAATAGGTCACCTACGAGTTTACGCCTAATGCTCAGATCTGGCCACGTGGTCTGAACAGCACCCTCGGAGGAAAGGAGGGACAGATCTATCTCATCGCGTCTGACCTTGGTTCTAACGTGGGGAGCGGGTTGGATTTCATAAGTACGTCTCATGATATCTTACTGGGGTCTGAATCTTACAACCGTCATGCGTATTCCAGACGGATTCGGCTGGATTCAACGCTATTACACTGTCTTTGATACCGGGAACAGGCAGCTCGGTCTTGCGACAACGGCATATACGGATGCTGATACCAACTGATGATGGTCCCTGCAAAGCCCTCACATTGTTTACTTTGAAAGTTTCGGGCGTGTACCAGTAGTATTTGCTAGTAAATGTTCTAGAGAAAATCATCTTTGTCATTAGCATTCCCACAGTCAGATGTAACACGAAGTCTCAGACTGAAAGATACAATCATTAGGGTACGGTTGAAAAGTTGATACTTTTCAACAGCTGCCTGTTAATAACTAGGGTTAATAACACTATTGAAAATGTCGGACATTTCGACGGGGGGATTTCCTATACAAAGTAACCAGATAGGTTTATACCAGTTTATGTGTAAATCAGGTGAGATGAGGTGATGTAGAATGGGACCTGTGTGCAGTGCGGCGGAGGTCGTTTCCTTGAAAGTTCCGTTGTGCACTGTACCTTGAGCCGGCGCAATGTCACGTGATACGTCATGGGGCGGATGTAGAACAGCTGTTGAGTACTAGTACACCGCCATGACCAGCACCTGCTAAAATTCAAACTCCTCGCTTCGCCTGCCAAATCCCTTCGAGATCGACCAGCCTGGGTTTCCCGATCGACTTGTCCGTAGCGTATAAGCCAGGTGGTCACGAGCCTAGGTTACTTGACACATTCAGCATTAGCGCATTTCCCAGTGATTTTTATTGGAACTACTACTATCCACAGTGATTGACACCTATTGGTGACCTTCTCTGTCTTGCTCAGACTGGACATATGGAAGCTTCGCTATCTCTCTACCTCTGTCTTGCTCAGACCAGATGGAAGCCTCGCTGTCAGAGAAACGGCGAAACAAAGCTCCGGCTCATTGACCCTGCTTTTCCATTATCCGGCCAGGGTTACTGATGTTTGTTTTCGAGCAAACATGACCAGTGGATTTTTCATGACAGACGGGTGACATAGCACATAGCTTCGGACTCCTTGGATCTCGCACTTTTGCATAGCACCTCTGGTCTTTGCTCGATCTGGAGTGCCCCTTGCTCGTACCTGCCCCCACCCTGATGACAATTGTTCTCGCGTTAACTTGTTGTCATTATAGCTCCCTGCCAAGCTACTATAATAACTATGTTGATATTTCAGTCGACAAGGTTATTTTTGGGAGGCTCTCTTCTTGAGAGGGTCCTGCTTTCCCCTGGCAATGCCTTACAGTATTGATATATCCTCCGGCTATTAGTGATGCCTAGAAGCCATAGCACCCATCTCCAACCCGACTTATATAAACAGTGTCACTCGACGCAGTTGTCTTCACTTTGTCTTCCCAACTCTCATCTCAAACCACTCAAATCATGTCACACGTCGTTATTCGTGCAATCCCCTTTGCGACTCGTCTGCGCGCAGCCCAGGGTGGTGCCAAGGAGCTTCTTAAGCGCGACCGCGTCCGCGCACAGAAGTTCCTGGCTGGCAAGTCCCACCATGCCTTCGTTGCTGCCAAAGCCAAACGCTACAGCAGCACTGGCGCGGACTCTAGCATTGATGTCACCGATTCAGGTGTCACTTACACTACGCAAGTCGGTGTTGGGAGCCCAGCGACCGATTATACATTGTTGATCGATACTGGTTCGTGGAATATTAGTGACGTGAATAAATTGGCACTTATTTATATGTCAACGATATTCCAGGTAGTTCGAATACGTGGATTGGTGCAGATCTGCCATACGAACCCACAAGCACCAGTTACGACACTGGTAACACCATAGTGAGTGAGCTAGCTGCCCCTAGTGTTATGATACTGTGAACAGACTGGTCTGGAATCTAGAATGTCAGCTATGGTTCGGGAAGTATGTTCGGAGAGGAATGTAAGGACTGCTTCTTTCGGCTACAATCGCACCAACTAAATGTGGATCAGACACCGACACCGTGACCTTAGGGCCAGATTTGGTTATCCAGAACCAAGGCATCGGCGTGGCTTCATACGCGCAAGGGTTCGAGGGCGTCGATGGTATATTGGGGTAACATTTGGTCTGAAAAGCAGTGTTTCGTAGCGCTGATATCTTTGTAGTGTCGGTCCCGCAGACCTTACACAGGGAACCGTGTCTGACACGACGGATGTGCCTACGGTTACCGACAACTTATACGCTCAGGGAACAATATCTTCCAATTCACTCGGCATTTCCTACGAGCCGTCTTCCACGGCTAACGTAAGCAATGGAGAGCTTACATTCGGTGGGACCGATAACACCAAGTTAGAAGACATTTGTCTTTCAATTCTGATTTTATTTAACACCATATGTCAGGTTCACTGGCACACTCAATACTGTTCCGCTTACCGCCACCTCCCCAGCCTCATTGGTAAATCACACAGCCTGACTGAAAATGTACTGCTTACTCATCTTGACGATCATCCATTATAGTATTGGGGTATCGATCAGTCGGTATCGTACGGTACTGGTCAAACAATCTTGAACACGACTGCCGGCATTGTGGACACTGGCACTACCCTTCTTCTCCTTGCCACTGGTATGCATATATCCCACTGTGATATCTGTTACTCACCGAAATGTGCAGAGGCTTTCCAGGCCTATCAGCAGGCAACTGGTGCCGTCGAAGACCAGTGAGTTCAGTTCGATGAGCCTACAATGTTTTGGCATCTTATGTGGATCAGAACCACAGGTCTCCTAACCATCACGTCGGAACAATACGCTGAACTTCAAAGCTTGTATTTCAATATTGGCGGTGTATGTTTTTCTCTCATATGATGAACCTCTGATTAATTATTGGAATAGGTCACCTACGAGTTTACGCCCAATGCTCAGATCTGGCCACGTAGTCTGAACAGCATCCTCGGAGGAGAGGAGGGACAGATTTATCTGATCGCGTCTGACCTTGGTTCCTCAGTGGGGAGCGGGCTGGACTTCATAAGTACGTCCCATGATATCTTACTGGGGTCTCGGCCTGACAAATATCATGCGCATTCCAGACGGATTCGGCTGGATTCAACGCTTTTACACTTACTTTGATACCGAGAACGGGCAGCTCGGTGTTGCGACTACGCCATACACTGATGCTGATACCAACTGATGGCAGTCCCCGCACCGTTTTCTGTCGCCGAATTATTTCATTTTGACGATCCCAGAGGACCGTATGTAAGTTTGTTTGTAGACAGTTTCAGGCGTGTACTAGTATTTGTCATGGCTAGTAAATGTATCAGAGAAAATCAGACCTTTGTCATTAGCATGACCTGTGGGATGTAATGCCAACTCTAGATCTGAGAGATTGAAATATATGGATATCAAACTGGTAACACTCATGATCGAATACTGGCGGGGCCAGTACTGCAGTGATTGGTTGAGTCGATTTGCGGACTGCCGATGCGCCCTTCGCCCCTAATTCCGAGCGTTTGACTGCGACATCTTCGTGCTGAGATTCAGGACTATATTACCGCAGGTGATTCGAGCAATTCCCTATATATGCGATTGTCAATGCAACTCAAAGTTACTGTCGACCTCGAGTGACAGCGGACATGTGTCCCTAAACCCTTGACAGCTAGCAACCATTTATGCGCATCATAGTCAAATGCCTCTGGACCGGCCTCGCGATCAGTCGGAGAATTAGTAAATGGTAGTAGCATTGCGAAGTCACCCCGAAGTGGTCGGTTTGGGACAAAGTAGGGGCAGGCCCATCGGCACGGCACCTCTCCAAGCGGAGCATGAAAGTTGCCCTGTCGTGGTGCTGTGTCACATGCTTGGAATGTTCCATAAGTACCATGAATCCACGTACCACGCTGAATTCGACTGCAAACAATTTCTAGATTGATCATGACTTCGTGCGAAAAATTGACGGTCCCACCGGTGGCGTTTGCAGTCCTCGCTTAAGACTGCAAACTTGTCACGTGACGACTCAGCCACAGCGCTCGCTTCCTTCCTTGGCTCGATTGCCAATCGCGCTCCACCTGGACCTGGACCACCGACAATCAGCACAATCAGCACAATCGGCATCCAAGACCCGTTGGCCAGACGATGGGTCTCGCTGGTGGTGTATATCAGTGAGGTGAGTGTTGTTAGTATGAAGTTCTCGAAGGTATGCTCACCTTTTCTTCATCGTCTGATTGTGCATTCAGGTATGCAGCGCGCTATGTCGAGGCCACGGATCTCCTGGTTCCTATTCATAGGTTCCTAAATGTGCTGCCAGGTTCAGGTGCGCTGGAGAAGCTCATGAGTGCTCCATTGATGGTGATAGGTATGTGCCATCTTTGCCTGGCCCTCGAGACTCACCAAATCCCTGCACCAGGTACCAACATGCTCCGTTCATAATTACAGGTGCGCTGGAGAAGCTCATGAGTGCTCCGTTCATGATTATAGGTACGTGCCGTCTCTGTCCAGCCCTCGAGACTCACCTAGGGAACTGCACGGGTAAACCCCTGGGTATTGGAGGCCATACCCGCACCCGCACCTGGCAAAAACCTGTACCCGCTCTGACGGGTACAGGTTTTTGGCGGGTACAACAAGCTCAGACCCGTACCCACACCTGCACCTGTGCAGGGTTTACCTGCGGGTACCATAGGTATCACTGCCAGTGCTTAGCACATATGTCCAGCACACGTCAGCGAATGCTGACATGACTCGAACATATGTGGATGGCACAAGGAGGAGTGGAGTCGCAGTGTGAATGATGGACACGTTGAAATAGACACTGATGTCGTGACAGGTGGTGTGTCGCGTATGATCGAAGTCGAAGGTGAGCGTGTCGAAATGGGAGATGGTGGTGTGGTGGCGCGAGAGTGTGATGTGTCGGGCGTCACGTCCTCGTTGCAGAAAATGGGGGCAGAGTCAGGACGGCGACTTACTGACAAGATCCTTCCTTCCTCCTCTCGTTCCTCCTCTTTTCCTTCTCACTTCCTTCTCTTTCCCTTCTTTCCTCGTCCTCGCATCCTCCGTATGTGTCTGAGCCACGCCAGCATTTGCTGGCGTGCTCTGGGCGCAGATGCTCGATGCTGGCGGTTGGTAGCACGAGGTGGGAGCTGCTGGTGGCATCCTGGATGGAGGTGGTTGTTGCTGTGGGAAGGGAGCTGCTAGCGATGGTGGTGGTGGTGCCGGCATCGAGGAACGTGTGAATGGTGGTGGTGGTTGCTGGCTGAGGGCGTCCGTTGACGTGCTTAGTGGCGTTAGAACGGGTGCCGGAAGAATTGGCATGGGGGGTGCAGTGAGTGCTGCCGAATGCGAGGATGCTGGTGGTGGTGTGTTAGCAGGTGAGTGCTTGGTGGTGGTGCCGGTTGTAGCGTGCACGCGGGAAGTATCGCGTTTATGGAAGGCATGGGTATAGCTGGGGTATGGGTAAGAGCGTGGGTCTTAGAATCCTGACCTGTACCCGTACCCCAGTAGTACCCGTACCCGTGACCCGTGCGGGTTACCTGTACCCGTGCAGATCCCTAGACTCACCAAATCCCTGCACCAAGTACCAACATGCTCTGTTAATGGTTACAGGTGCGCTGGAGAAGCTCATGAGCGCTCCGTTCATGATTATAGGTATGTGCCGTCTCTGTCCGGCCCCCAAGACTCACCAAATCCCTGCACCAGGTACCGATGTGCTCTGTTAATGGTTACAGGTGCGCTGGAGAAGCTCTTGAGCACTCTGTTCATGGGTTGGAGACAAGACAATTAGATTATGTAGTGCATACTTGTGTGTACAGTAGTAGATTAGAAGAGAATGTATGGTTTATAATCATAAACTATTGGACAAATGCCCGAGCGAGATTGAAGTTACCTGTAGAAACAGCTAGGTAGGGATATAGTGGTAGACAGTGCAAATTTGATGGTGTGCCGCTGCATGGATGGGATATGTAGTAAGTGATGAGTCCGGGGGGATATGATAAAGAAACGTGCTCCTGAGTGCTCTTGAATGGCACTCGTTGTATACAATTTGACAGTCGAATCTATTGAAAATGTCGAGCTTAAAAAGAGTCAGCAGGGCATGTGAAAGAGAACATGAGAGATCTTACTTGCGCAGGACAGTCTGAGCACCAAAAACAAATGAGTCGCTGTCATCTGTCATGACAGCATCAATAATACCGGCACCATTCATCAGTGCCAGCTGTGTCTCAGCTTCTCTGGCAGTCTGGATAGCCAGGATTGATATAGATGACAATGAAAAAAAAGAAAAAACTCACCATGATCCACTGCACGTTGAATGCATTCAGTAGGCGCTGGGTGGGCTTGACCATCCAATGGTCGTTGGTAGACACTCTGTGGCCCCATTTGATTTCAAAAATGTTCGAAGGGCGGGATTCTGGCCTGTCTGAGCATGTGCACGGTGCCACCTGCCCTGCTGGCATTGTTCGAACCATGCACTAGAATCAAGAAATGAGAATGTGAGAATGTTTGCCATCGAACACAGCGAGCGAACACAAACCTTGCATCCACGCCTACAATATAAGGCGAGTGAGGGGCAGGTCCCTCATATCGGCCCCAGATGGCGAGAGAGATGAGGGGCACCGTCGTTGCAGCAGGCTCGAGCACCTGACAAATGATGGGGTGAGTTTCAGCACCTGCCGAGTGAACAGTGGGAATGTGCCTCCCACAGGTCGTTGATGCCCATGACGACGAGGATGCTGGAAGTATAATTTGAGATCAGTAGGCTGACAAGCACAGCCGCTATGCGTGGAGGAGACGGGAGTCGAACGAGAAGAGGAGGTACTCACTAGTACTAGTAGCGTATGTGTGCATACATCAGTGGTGGCAGTACCATGTATGGTATAGCAGCCAGCCAGGACTGTAAATCCGAGGACCGTCAATCTGCAGCACATCAGCATGCAGCGTGTTTTTTTGGCAGGAGGGAAGGATGCGTCGCCACCAAGACCGAAGCTGGGTGTAAACGAAAAATTGACGGTCCTAATGTGCGAAATTTGCAGTCTCTCGGTTAGCGTCTCGGGATTCTCCCACAGGTGGTTTGCATTGTGCTCACCCAGGACCCTCCACCCCATCCAGCAGCCATCCAGAGCTCTCTCGCAGCTCAAAAACATCGATTTTTGCTGCCTATGGCGTCCATAGCCCGTCTGGTGCCCTCCCGCGCGTTTTCCGAGCCTATCTGCAGTTTGAAATGTTGCTGTCTGGGGTCACATCTTTTTTGATGTCGCGGTTCACGTGCCGCGGTGGCGGTGCTCGCTTGGGTAAGCCCATGCTGGACCGTCAATTTGACCGTGATCAGCTCTACTTCTACAAGTCTTGTGCGCTGCATATTGTTTTACCAGGTGCAGCCGTGACGCAGACTTAGTACACAGGTAGACGAAAGGGCATGGAAAGATGTTGTCCATATCAAATGCCAGCGCATTTTTTTGCTAATACCTACTATTACCGAAGTCACTCAAAGCCAGTCAGCCACATCATTGTTTCCTTGGTCACGCCCTTCAGGCCACCGTCGGGAAATTGTACTATGAGTTTACCACAGCGGAACAGGTTTAAACGTTTCTCGATTTGAATATCCTCGGTCGTGCAGAAAAATCTAAATGTTATGTAACGCACTCCTCACTGTTCTGAATGGCGGGGATAGTATAGAGCTAGAGGCTGGTACAATGGCGATGCTTGCCGGCCCATGCGCACATCCTCAACCCTTCTAGACACCGTATTTAGTATCCCGGACTTTTTCATGCAGTTCAATGGAGCTTAGAATTAGGAGAAAAATGCATGGATTCTACTCTTTTCGAGGACTGAGATACTTAACTGCTGCTATTGTACGATAGAATTGGTATACATGGTAACTTGACATCCGGGAGTTGTAGCGTACAGTAAGAGATCTACACATTATAATTTGAGGTTCAACCAACATGCACTTTGCTCATGAGATCGGCGAGTGTGTCTGCAACCATCTCGAAGGTTGATTTCTTGTCCGTTGCCAGTGGTACGGGAATTTCCTCCGCTTCCTCAGCCTCCTCTGGTAACTCTTCAGCCTCCTCTACGTCGTCTTCCTCCTCCTCTTCGTCCTCTTCCGTACGGATGAGCTTGCCACCGTGAGCTTTCAAGTGTTCGGCGATGTCATCCAGATGTTCGTTATCCTCAACGTCATCATTGTCCTGCAGGTCTAACCGTTTCAGCTTGGTCAACTTCGTCACCGCTTGGGCAAGGACCTCGTAGCTTTGGGCATCGAGGTTGTTGTTCTGCAATCGCAGCTCCTGAAGATTCTGAAGACTCTGTGTATTCGGATCGTTGAAAGCCTCTAGGAGTGGTGGCACTTCGCCTTCTCCGTTCGATAGCATGCAGTCAGAAAGGTCGAGGAAGCGTAACTTTGGCCAGCTGGTTTTGAGGGCCTCACCCCATGCACGAACAGCTTTCCGACCTTCTTCATCCATCTCCACATCTATGAATGCATTGTCCTGGAAATTGACAATCTGCAATTCAGAGCATGCGACAAGACCTCGCCCAAGGGCCTCAACACCGTCCATACGAATGCCATTCTGGGGCATTTGCACCTCTGTGAGTGTCTTGTGTGCCTCGAATGCCTTGGCCCAGGCGGTAGCTCCTGGGTCCTCTAGCCGATTTCGGCCGCAGATGACAACCTCAAGGTTTGATCGTGAGCCATCTGTTGGTGCAGACTTGCGCACAGCTTCTGCAATCTTCTTGCCACCAGCAGGCCCGAGGCCATTGTTATTGAGACGGAGGACGCGTATAGAGTGATTACTTTCGAGAAAGGGTGTAAGGAAGGGCACAACACGCTCTCCAAACGCGTTATCATTGAGGTTTATCTCTCGAAGGGAGGTCTTGTGTGAGAGTGGATCGAGGAGTGCTTGTATAGCAGCAGGGATCTCCTCGATAGTACGTCCCGTAAAGATATCTGCCAAGTCTGCAAGCTGAACACGAGTCAGTGGGGAACGATCTTTAGATATAAATTTCAGGAATTATAGTACGCACTTGAAGCACATCCGCAGTCTCGAGGAATCGACCAAATGCCTTGGCAGCCTCCACGCCGATGGAATTGCCTCCAAGGTGGATAGCTGTGAGTTTGGTAGGGTCGACGCCAGTAGTGAAGGGGGCAACATCAGCAGCGGTTTCAAGTTTTAATTGTTTGCCACGAATGTCAAGAATCGCCTTAGATGCCGCCATGGTTAGCGATGGGTAATCGATCGTGGTGAACGTTGTTCAATAAAACACAAGGTGAATCGATAATCCCAAAATGGAAGCGCAACTTTATAGAAGTCACGTGCCAGGTGCAGTATTTTCCAAGATTTGAATCCTCCTGATCGACCACAACGGCGACGTCGGCGAGCACGGTGAGATTGACATCATCAAAGACGACGAGAAGCAGCAGGACAGACTAAATACTACATGCGCCAGCCAAAAGCTTCTTTCTAAATCATATAGCTATGATGACCTCGACAAACACATTCGACCCGCTCACCATCAACCTTGAAAAACAAAAACGCGCACTTTGTGCACTTCTGCCTCCCAATTCCTTCCATATCCAACATATAACTGAAGCGAATACACCAACACACGCTCTATCCACATTATCTCGACTGCTAGCTGTTCCAGCTCTCACTCTGACAATCGCCGATCTGTTCAGACCTCTTTTGATTGATCTATGCGCCAGATGGCTTCACGACGATGACGATATCGAAGATAGGTTCATCGCGTTTTGTCTCCTCATTGAGCTTCATGAGGAGCTATATCCGTGCGCTTTATTATCGCACTTGTGTTATTCATCTCACGTCTGGTTGTAGATGTCTATACGCTTTCTTGCAAAAACAATGTCTATCCAAGGGACCACTTGCTTTCATAGCTGCGGCTCCTTCTGTTGCTGACATTGAAACCATTCGTCTACACCGCATATTGCTTGCATATTATCGCCTTCTCCGCGCTAATCGTCTCCTTCCCAAGCATCTGCTATGGGACGGGTCGCTATTATCCAAACTGCTCTTCCCGCCTCACCCTGATGCAGGCGTACGATTACTTGCTGCTCGGTGCTATGCATCGCATGTTAGTATGGCAGAAAGTGAGCGCGAGAAGCTTATCACCCACGTCCTCGGCGAGTTTTGCAGCGTTGATTGTCCAATTAACTATGCTCAGACTATCGACGGGACTGTCGTTGATACTGATGGCTGGCTCGTGCCTACATTGGAGATAAAGCGTATTCACGATGCACGCGACGCTATTCTCGAAAGTTCCGATTTTTACTCTCTTGACGCAGAGGATGTGTTGCAGCCTCTCTCGGAGGCAGACCTGAGGTCTGTTACCTGCTATACTGTTGCAAATGTGAACCTAATGTTTCTGCTAGTCCCTGGATTGCCAATATCCATGGTTTATTGATGCTCAAGTCATCTCCAACCATGCCTTCTCCTTCAGAGATCATTGCAACACCTTCCGCTATAAATGCTCTCCGTGAAATTGCGACACACCTTTCTCTCCGCTTGCCTGTCCTCCTATCTTCTCCACCATCCTCAGGAAAATCGCTCTTCATATCCCATCTCGCTTCCGGCTTACATCCGACGATACCAGTCAACGAGCTCATCGTGACCGTTCACCTAGCAGATACGTCTCTCGATCCTCGGGCCCTTCTTGGCTCCTACATTTCCTCACCAACACAACTCGGAACTTTTGAATGGAAGGATGGTGTACTTGTGCGCGCACTGCGTGAGGGGCGCTGGCTGGTGCTTTCTGACATAGATCGTGCTAGCATGGAGGTTTTGGCCCTGCTGAAGCCACTTGTCGAGAGTATGGGCCTTGGGAATTGGATTGGACATCGCGCAGGTATAGAGGTCCCCGGAAAGGGTCGCGTTGAGGCGCGTGAAGGTTTTGCACTTTTTGCAACTCGATCGCTTGCTGTTGGGCACGGAAAGAAGGTGCCTCCCCCAACATTTTTTGGTTCCCATAAATGGCATGAAGTGATAGTGGACGCACCAGATGCAGAGGAGGTCAGATCTATCATGGAAAGCAAGTTCCCGAAGA